AGTAATTTTACGAAAACATTACCTAACTTTAACGGTCGAAAACTCGACAAAGAACACAGAGCTAGCTAGCTCTCTGTTAAGTGAACTGTACCTACGTCAACTCGAAATTAACTCGCTCATCGTGAAAACTCGATAAGATATCAAGGTAGTTTCAGATTAAAAAGAACGCTTTGTATTTCTTGTAAGTTTGTGGAATATTTGTATATATAAATCATTGTTTGAAATAGCTGTTTGTAATAACTGTTATTGTAAATTGTATTGTTGTTTATATATTAAAACATATTTGTGTTAAGAAAGAAACTGTGTATATCAATCTTGTTTACAAATATCACAAATTCAATACATATCGGCATTTATTTAACTACTGAACTTAAATTATCATTTAGCTCGGTTTCAGACCATTCGAAATTGTAATACGTAACACTCGGTGGAGTAGTTTCACACTTCGTATTACTACAGAAGTTATAACAACTGAATTGAAATATCGTCGTCAGTTGGGGTTCTCGTTGTTAAAAGTGTATTTGCCAGTGTTCAACTTGCAACACTTGAAAAAATCAGGTAAACACTAGTGAGACGTTTTTTTTAAACTTTATTCTAGTTTTTAACTGAAAACAATTTTTAATTTGAAATACTAGAATTAAGAATCCCCCATTTTCTTCCACTGAAGTAACTTAGAAAATATTAAATAAAGTAAATTAGTTTTTCTGTTTTGTCACTTTAAAAACGAAACAAATTAACACAAAATTTTTATTTCACGTCAAGACAAGTTGTGTTCCTCAAACATAAACTTTTGTTAACTATAACACAATAGTTTACTCTTGTGAAATTAACACACGTTTTTAAAGTTTTCTAACACAAGTTACGCACGTTTTTCAATATGATTTTAATACGTTGTTGCATTATGAAGACACAATTTTATGACGGGTTCGGAAAATATTAGAAAAAACATATAAAACGTGTTTATGATTACTACTTTTGATTCTAAACAAACGATTTACTAGCATTCTTAAGCAAAGATATAATGAAACATGCTATACAACGTTAAGTTTATAAACGTAGAAGAAATTTGGCGGGTCAGTGGTACGTTTCCAGATTTACCTCCCTAAAATCCGAGTTTCGATTATCTGGGATGTACAGAGTACAGATCGACCATTGTGTAGCTTTGCACTAAAACAACAACACAGTTGTTACATATTAGACTTCAGAAATTTATTCAATAAACTTATAAAAAAAAAACAGCAAGAATTTTATACAAGAACTTGTCTGTCCAAATCCCAATATTTGTTTATATTTAAGAAAATATAATCAAGAAATGTATATTTGGCTTAAAGGTCGTAAACAAGTTTTACCAAAGTAAACACTATGTTCAATACTAACATTATTTGGTGATCTCATTTTAAAGAAAAATGGGTAACATAAGATTTTTTCCCATACCCTATGATCCAAGCTGATAGTTTGTAAAGGCATGTTTCACGTATATATTATACAAGTGTAGCTAGAATATATTTGGAACCTGTTCGTTTGTTTTTAATTAAGCACAAAGCTACACAAGGGCTATCTGTGCACCACTGCCCACCTCGGGTATCGAAACCCAGTTTCTAGCGTTGTAAGTCCACAGACATTCCGCTGTGCTACTGAGGGCATATTTGGAACTGAAAATAATATTTAATTTAGAATATCTGAAAAAAGTATGAACTTTGAATCTTTTGTTCGAGCTATCTAAATTGTGAGTGCTTTGTTTAATAATTCACAGAATTTACATAATGTGTACTTTCAGTTTGTTTTTCTTTCAAAATTTACATAGTTATATGTGAACAATGCTACTATAAGAAGATATAACTTTCGAAGAACGAAAGAAGTTATCGACGAAAAACATTTTTTGATCATATAGCTGCAGGCGTGCACTAATCAGTCTAAAGTTCAGTAAAATACTAGTGCAATATTGAAACAACAACAACATTTAAATATTTCTAAGCGAGTACTTAAAATGTCTAAAGCTTTCACTGTTATTTCTAAGAGTGAAAAATCCTTGAAGTCAATAAATATCAGGCTGAAGTATGTGGATATCGTATAATGCTTAAAAAGTGCTTTGATACCAAATATTACGTAGTAATTCGCATTTGATTGGTAAGGAAATTCGTTTTGTACATTGACACCTGCAGCAAGGCAAATATCTTACAAGCTTGTAGAACATAGAATTTATGATTGAAAAAGTAACCCGGATGTTTGATGATTTTCTTGCATTGTACTACAGATCTGCAAAAAAAAAAAGAAAATAAAAAAGTTTAGTATTTGTTCAACCGAAAGAGAGCGATTGTAAACCATTCGTTTACAATTCGTATTTTGAACATTACGAGTAAATTTGAACATTAACAGCAAAATTGTATTTGTATGAAATCTTAAAATAGAATAAAAGCGTTTTGTAAGTCCGTGAGTTGTGTTTTTCAGATAGACTTATGAAATAATTGAATTAAGTAGCACCACGTTGCTGTACTGGAGACAGAATTAGAAGAACATAATCATATATTGTTGTTTCGTAGCCACAGCGAAAGGTAATTTAGTAATAAGCTGATTTCTAACAAATAAAATGAAATGTAATCTAGCAGTAAGTTTATGAACGGTAACCAAATCAAGCGTCGTAAATCATCCATCGCATAATATACTGGGCCATAGTCTAATTTCATTTATCAGTTGCAATAAGTAGTATATTACTCAGGGGTTTCCCTAGAGTGCAGTTGATCACAAATTATGCACCTGTAAAAATATTTGTGCAGTTGAAAATTCACCTGTATAAGTAAGTTTAAGTTGATGAATATATAAAAAAAACAACATATGTATGATTATAAAATTCAAATCCAGAGTTGACAAGTAAATGTATTTACTGGAACGTTCTTCATTTTTTTATCATTCGTTACTAGGCCTGTATATAACAGGTGCAATAAAGCGTCACGTATTAAAAAATGATGGAGTTAAAATATAATTGTGCAGTTGAAAATATCCTTAGAAAAAGCTCTGATATTTCTGATATATATTTTTCAAGGCATCTCATTTGGAAAAGTCCGAGAACGGTATTTAGAAGACAAGAAGACTCTTTGTATAGCCTTTTAAAGAAATAGGCTTAACAAAGAAGTTGAACTCAGTCTATATTAAGGGAAGTTGCTATGTTTCTGTACTTTACTTTTCGCTTGTTTTATTTAAGAAACCACTGATTCCTTCTGCCTGGTATCTACGATACTATAAAATTTTATAAAATGCTGTAAGAAAAAAACAGAAAAAAAACATCTTCTATGTGTTGCTATGAGCGTTGTGAAATGAGTGCAAATCTCAATATATGTCGTATTGGCCAACTTTTAATTTATCGTACGTTATAACCATCTGTGTCGCTTTTCATCCTTACCGAAACGCTAGTCTGTCATTTGGTGTGTACTGCTTGCGCGCGCAGCTCGACTGAAATAACAACATTATTGGCGATGGGTAGCCGGAAAAGTTGAGGACTGTACAGAGTGATGAGTAGCTGTTCAGACGCAACAGCTAATTTTTCACTTACATCGTATGCAACAGTTAGCGGACATACCCAACTAAACGGATACAATTAAACATATCCAGCTAAATAGATTAGTAGGGTTTTCATCCTTTTGTACTTTTCGGTCTATGTTAGTATTAAAAACATATTTTTTAGGATTTACTTGTAAGTAATTAGTCCAAATTCTCCAAATGGATCCTAGTAACTATGTAAACGCTAGCAATATTTCCGATATAAGTCATGAACTGGAGGCGCTGGGACCTGATTTACAAATATTTCTCATCACTCTGTATTCCATAACGGCAGTGCTGGCTTTAGGGGGAAATGTAACTGTTATTGTCGTTTTAACATTTGGAAAGAAATCTTCTCGTGATCTGCGGGCCTTTCTCATCAACTTAGCTGCTTCTGACATCACCATGGCGACCTTTTCAATCCCTTTCACTTACACAGACTTCATGTTAGGGCGTTGGATCTTCGAGCCATTTTTCTGTCCTGTTGTGTTGTTCATGCAACATTGTTCAGTCATCGTTAGCGTCTACACGCTAACAATAATTGGCTTAGACAGGTCAGTATGATTTTTTTTTAAATTAATGAATTGTTTAGATTAATTCCAATATTGTGAATGAACAAAATCGATATAATTTAGAACGTCGCTAGAAGCTAAGCAATTTAACCACCAAATTAACAAGTTGTTGTTGTACAGTACTGCTAGTGACATTCACATATTGCATCTTGTTAAGTAATTTTATAATTTTGCTTGTTACTGAACCTCCTGAAGTACGGCTCTACATAACTGAATAAACTGATTATTGTGCATATCATGTTAGGGTTTCAGTTATATATAATTATTTTTATTTGTGCATGTGCATTGCTTTACACTTTACTTATTTTCATTTTCTTCACAACTTTACTGTGTCATTAGTTTATTATGTCCGTTAAATGGTGTTGCTTTATTACGTGTTTTTAGACAAGGTTTGTCCAATAATCTACTTTATTCTTAATATAAGAAAAAAAAACATAATAAAAATGCAACTAATTACAATTTTAACACAAAATTTAACAATGATCATTTTCTTGACAACTGGTCACTTAATTGGCAATTGCTTACTCGTTTGGTCACTGCAACTGATCATATTTAACCACTGAAGGTTTTTCTGTCGATATGACTCATTATAACTATAGTATATACCTAGTGATATACTTACAAAGTGATAAATGACCATCTTCACTCAAGTAGTATTAAGTGTTTGAAATTATTTGGTCGATTATTTAAGCATAAAGCATTACCAGTTGAAAATTAATTTTCAGTAACACAGGAAGAGCATAAACGTTACTTTGCTAGACATTTGAAATAACACAAACTCAGCTAACTTTATGTTACGTTATAGTCATGTGTTATGGTTATAAAAGTCAGTAAAATCATCAAACTTCCCCCCTGGTGACATCAAGACAGACATGCGGTGACATGACCTAAGTATAGGTACATTTCAGCAATAGATAAAACTGGTATTTGCATATATCACGATAAATGTGAACATTGTTAAAGTTGTAGGTGGAGAAACATTGTACCAACAATAACTATAAGAAGAATTGTAACAAACTAAAAATGTATTAAATTTTTCTTGTTAATTGAAGCCTAATGTTCAGGGCTATTTTAATATAAGCAAATGCACGGAAGCTTTTAGGGTATCATAAACAATTTTGAACACATTGCATTTGAAGGTTTATTGTAACTAACCAGGGATGCTATATGATAAAACCTTCTCATTTATAAGGTGCCTTTCTGAAGACACTTGAATGAGTGTTGTTCAGCAAGACGTGAGAGAAAACTTGGATAAATGATAATAAAGAATAAGTTAGCAGGTCTAAATGAAAACCGTTTCTAGTTTCATTTTGTTTTATCATCTACCGCACCTTATACTGCCTGACGGAGGGCGTCTGCCCGAAACGTTGCACAAAATAAATATAGAAATAGTTTACACGTAGACGTGTCAGTTAATTCGTTATAATCTTTTATTCAAGAGTTTCTAAAGACACGTGTTCTCGATCTTTACTCAGTCGAGTGCTTGTAAAAATCACTGTAAACTCGAGTGAATTTTATAAATATATATAAAACTTTTCAGGCAAATAAGCCTAAAACAAAATTAAAATTGTCGAACATAAAAGACAGCCGAATGAAACTACTTCAAAAACTGTAATGTGATAAAATCAAATATACCCTAGTAAGAAAGTTATTTGCAGAAGAGGGACCCATGTAGCGGTGAGGATACACTGTTATTTGAAATAAAATTAGAATGAAAAAATGAATCTATTAGAAACAGATACTAGGACTCAAGCCCACAAAGTTACACATCTGAAATTAGTATTCATTGTTCTGGGGAAGGTAGTTGTTCCTAATGGAACAGAAAAGAAAAATCCCACACACACACATACTAGAATTAAAAATGAAATACAACGAATATAGCTTATTATAAGTAAACCTTATTTCTTGAAGTTCACATTACAATCTCCGTAATCTTCATACCTGAATGCAACAGAGTAAAATCTAAGATGTCTGGTTTCCTTTTGAGTTTACTTACTAATTAAGTAAGGAAGATTGTTTTTTAGTACAGGTACGACGTTTCGATTTGGTTTTGTTTGTATTTCGCGCAAAGCTACACGAGGGCTATCTGCGCTAGCCGTCCCTAATTTGACAGTGAAAGACCAGAGAGACAGCAGCTAGTCATCACCACCCACCGCCAACTCTTTTACCAACGAATAGTGGGTTTGACCGTCACATTATAACGCCCTCACGGCTGAAAGGGCGAGCATGTTTGGAGGGACGAAGATTCGAACCTGCTACCCTCAGATTGCGAGTAGAGCGCCCTAACTGCCTGGCCATGCCGGGGCACGACGTTTCGATCACTGATGCGATCATTCTCGTACCTGTTATAAAAAATAATTTTCCTCAGTGTAAAAGCTGTAACTTATGTCTAAATCTAAGTGATGAATACAAAAATATTGTTTACTTTTATATCTAAATCTAAGTGATGAATACAAAAATATTGTTTACTTTTATGTCTAGATCTACGTGATGAATACAAAAACACTGTTCACTTTTATGTCTAAATCTATGATGAATAAGAGTATCATATTTTGTAGTTTTTTTATTTCCAATTCATTAGGATTTATAGTGTTAATATTTTAATAGTCTGATTTTTTCAGGATAATTAAATCATCAATACAGCTGAATTTAAGGCTGTTTTCTTAAACTAACTTTTATATAAAACATAGATATAAGTTAGCGTCATTAAGATTTCTCTACGCTAGTGCTTTTGAGTAAGCTTGAGAGCTTACGTTTATCACGCTAAAATGCAGAGTTCAGAACCATGGTGGGCATAGATAACCTGTTGTGTAACGTTGCGCATAAAAAAACCAACATAAAAAAACTAAGCTTATTCCATTGGCCTTGCTTTTGCTAGATACTAGGTATGGATAATCTCGTTAACCCGTTCACACGCACCACTAATTAAGATAGAAGCACTTGGGTGCTTTCTCAGATACAACTTACCTTTCTCACATTATAGTTCGTACTTATCGCCTTCTGTGGTCTGTTTGTATTGCTCTGTTTAACTTACTAATTGCTGTAACTTCTTCTTTTATGTTTGGTGTCATTAGGATGAGTTACTGTAGACCGTGAATGGTAGGTAGCCTTAGCCCACACCTGTTCTTATTTTTTATTTCTTTCAAATGCGAGATTTGTGAAAAGAAGTTAAAGCTATGTGGAATCGTCTCTATTTTCCAAACTGTAGTTTGTATCTTAGATATTTCATGTCTCTCCTTTATGAGCGACTAATTTTGTTTTGGGCCAAGTTATTATTTTTTTTCATACAAACATGCATAGACACACACATATTTATACATAGTTACAAATTTAACCATCATGGATTATTTGTTGGCCAAAAATATTAAAGTAGTATCAGTGAAATAAAGCTTTTGTAAGAACATCAGTAAAGAGAGTCAGTTTTTGAGGATCATGTGTGCATTAGCACTATCATACGTGATGTACGTTTTTGAGAGGTGGTTAATGAAAGTGTTCCAAAGTGCGACATGAATTTCTTGACGACCTAATATATAGATATATGTCTATTCAACAACAGGTAACTTCATATACAGAGTAGAATAAACAATAGACCGAAATAGTAACTAGCAACTTAAGTTTTCTTAAAAGTAATACCTTTATTTATGAAAAAGACAAACAGGAAATAAAATAGTAGACAAAAACCTTACATGAAATCAATATATCAAGGTAATAGAAACAAACCAAGATCTAGTTATATATACATACAGACGATTAACTTCGCCTCTTATAGGAACAATTTGCATATGCTAATACTAAGGCGTGTCGCCGCATATGTGAACCAAGGATCTACATTTTTAGCATCTATATATTTGGTTCTAGACATTCCGACAGTGTAATAGCGCCACGGAGACATAATGACTGGGTAATAATATTACACCCCATTCTGAGGAAGGATATTTATTTAAGTTATTGCTAAACGATACATTTACAAGAACGAAACTTTCGGTTCTCTCCCTGAAAGTGGAAAAAAAACTCTCGAGGCAGAACGTGTGAGACAACAGGTGACTCTTAAACCACACTCCAAACTTTTCTGGACCAACGCCATCTTCTGTAAAATGAACCCTATGGTTACAAAGGTATATCTTTGATTGATAAAAGACTTCGTGATGAAGCTGGACATAGCTCCTGACTCGACATTGTCTAACAATATTGCTGTATGAACATCCTTTCTCGAAAAGGGCTGTGATATTTTTCTTACTCTTATCATTTGAACAATTTATTTGATTTTTCATCAAACAATAGAAACTTTTAAACCTTCATTTCCCAACGCCACTTCTGAACCTCCGTTAGATAAGAATTCTGAGATATAAAACATTTTGTGTATCATTTTACTCACAACGCATCTGACCAATTTCCATTTTAAAGTTTTACTCCTCGAGCTTAAAATTTCGAAATAATGATGTGCATTTTCCTGCGTCTAATCAAAATTTAGAAAGCACTCAATGAAAAATTAGCAATCGGTTATATGTATATGATTATAACACTTTGTAAAGTTACCAAAGAGTGTAAAATTTTGGTACTAGCGAGAGTTTGCAGAAGTTTTCATGAATTTCTTTATAATCACCTTTAGGTATTAGCATAGTTTAGCTGATCTCATTGTAACATTATAACTAAAGATACTTTAGATAGCCCCTATGAAACTCATATGATAAATCTTATTTCAGTGTTCACAAAATAGAGTAGTACAGTACGTAAGTACAGCAAAGTAAATTCTTCGCTTCTAAGCGATTCACAAACCTCAAAATATACATATAAAAGTTTATATAAATGAAAACGTTCTCTTCAGCTCGTTTATCTCATAATCTCCTACTTGGTTTTAAATTAGAAAATAAATAAATATGTCATTGTTACATTGGATTGTTAGTAATATGTTTTAATAACTTGTATTAGAACAGTAATTGTCAAAATCATTTTTTTTTCATAATATATTTTGAGGTAGAAGA